ACACCATAATTCCCTAATCAAGATCAAGGCCTATTTCCCACTTCGATGATTTGTAACAAGAAACAATTTATGTTCCATCTGGTTACACAAAACTATTAGCATAAGATCTTCAAATACCGTTTCAGTTGCAGTGCTTCCAGTCCTAGCGAAGTCATAATCTTCGTATTCTCCAAATATTCTGACAAAATCAACAGAAGATTTATGCACTTGTTAATAATGGGCCATCAAATGTAAATTCTTTCTAATTATAAAGTTACATATAAAGTGAAGATTTGTATGGTATCTCAAAAAAATCGATACTGAAATCCACCACGCAATGGAGATATCATTTCCTGAGCTAAGATACAAACCTTCTTACCAACTTAAGCTCACTTATATATTAATTACATTAGATGTCATCAGAAAAATCAAAAAGTGTAAGTAAACTTCAGTTCTTCATAGTTCCTGTCAGCACAGATTATGAATAACACTTCCAAGACATACCTTTGAATATCTTCTTTGGGCAAACTAGTGAAACAAAGTCCTGAATCTCCGCGGAGAAGCTTAAAAAAAAAAGAAAAGAAAAAGAACGAAAGAAAGAAAGTTGTGAGTTTATACTGAAATTTCATCACAACATGAATAGATGGAAAATGTACATACTTGAAAATAGAAATGATGACAAAGGGAGATGTAAAGTTAGCATGCAGAGAAACCCATTGTATTCGTACCTTTGAGACCTTGTGAAGGCGTGGTTTGATCTCATCAGCAACAGACCTACCCAATGCAATCTGCATAACCTTATTTGACCCTAGAAAAAATCTAGGCCAAATAGAACACAAATTAATCAGTTTGATGCAGTTACCCAACCTTGTGAACTATAAGAACCAAAGCATCTAGAGAAATGAGAAACAACAAGGCAAAGAGTACACAACACCAATAATAGAAGACAAGAAATGGTATCGAGCAGGGTTTTGCAGAATTTTAAGGGTTTATACCCTATAAGATCAAATGACCCAGAAGGGCAAAATTTGAAACTTTATTATGAACAATACCCTATACCATGCGGATGTGAAATTTACACACCTTTCTATTTACCAGAAAACTTAAAGAGCCTGGTAATTGAAGAAAGGCTAAACAAAACAGAATGTCTAGATTCTAAGAGTAATTTTCAGGCAAACTGATGAGTTCCTAGAAAAACTAGCAACAATTAGCAATATAGCAAGCTCTCTCCAAAGTAACAGCTCGTGTCTAAATTTTCAAGCTTTTCTGCTACATTTTTTTTTTTTTGTTGAATTGCTGCAAGGCTAATGGTGAAGGTGGTATAATCGGAGAAGGTGTTTGTTGTACTTGGGAGACCGACAATTAGCTGCCTAACCTGCTTGAAGACTTGAGCCGCTCCCTGAACTCCTTGAACTTGAGATTCCTCATGTTCTCGAAACTGAAAACGTACGCCGATTCGTACTTCTCTGCAGCATCTCGTATCGAGCTCACTACATTTTCTTTATGCTCCCTTCCCTTCTTCTTCGTCTTCGATAGAGTCACTACACAATAGCCCACCAACGTTAATGAAATTGAAATTCAGTAAGAATAAAAGCTACTGATCAATCAATTGAAGTATGAGAGAGAGAGAGAGAGACCTGGCCTGTTGCGCTTTGATTTCGGCATAGTCGGCAGTGACCTTGGGCGAGGAGAGCGAGCAAGAGAGAAGGGGTGAAGTGGTGGCAGAGAATGGATTTTGAAGGATTTGGACGACCAAAACCCTAATTAAGGCTGTATCGTGATTCGGGCCTATCCGACATCACATTTCATGAGCCCTTTTTAGCAGTGAAAATTGAAAACTTCCGTTTGGAGAGGATGGTTGGGCCAAAACACACGTACTACTGGGCCTAGCCCAATTCTCGTTACTTTCACTTTTATTTCATTTGGAAAAAATCTTTTTCACCCTAATACAAAGATCCATTAAGTTTTTCACACCGCCCACTAACAATCTAACTTTTTCACCCCGGAAAGTGCAAAAGTTATGCGAATGACTGCATAACTATCGCATATCAAGTGCACAACTGTCGCATATTCATCGCGCAAATGCCTTCGCACTTTAACTATTTCCATCCCAGAAAGTGCAAAGGGATATGCGAATGCCTTCGCACTTCTAACTTTCACACAATGTCATCGCGCAACTTTCGCATATTCATCGCACAATGCCTTTGCACTTTAGCTTTTTCCAGCTCAGAAAGTGCGAAGGGATATGCGAATGCCTTCGCACTTCTAACTTTCGCACAATGTCATCGCGCAACTATCGCATATTCATCGCACAATGTCTTTCGCATTTTCTGGGGTGAAAAACTTAGTTTTTTATTGGGCGGTGTGAAAAACTTAGCAGGACTTCAAAATGGGGTGAAAATAACTATTTTCACTTATATTAACTCATTTACTATTCACCGTCCCCCTATTACTACTTACCGCCACCCTGGACAATTTTACCCCTGACATTTTTTTTCAAAAAGTAAAAAAAAAAATATAATGAAAAATTATAAATTATAATTTAAAATTATAATTATTTTAATTTAAAACAAAATATAATATATTAATAAAAAAATTTATATTAATTAATTTATTTGAAAAAAATAATATAATTTAAAACAAAAAATATTATATTAATAAATAAAAAGTATATTAATTAATTTATTGGATAAAAAATATTTTTAATTATCAGAAGAATAATAATTACTAAATATTATTAAATTAATTAATCACTATTTAAATGG